CGTTCTGACACGAAGATGTGTGATTCCACTAGTGGTGATGATGTTGAAGAATAGTTTGGCAAATATATTTTTAATTTCTCACACACCTTTATCAATTTTCGAGCGTTAAATCGAATAGATTAAAGATGATTAATAACTATAAATTGACAAAAATGTGTGTAAGTAAAAATGAGCTATGCGAATAACTCTATCCATATAAAAATAGTTGTTTTACATAACAAGGGAGACACTTCGATTATCGGAAATAAAGTGATTTAATTCATTGCACATAAGTTTACGTATAGCGTTATTTTTACAATTATGTGATGTGACTATCCATTTTCTAACAGATAAATTTATTTTATTAATATTATACTTTTAAGTACATAAAACATCAAACCCATCGTAAATTAATTACAACACCTAGACTAATAACACTATATGAAAACCTAATTTTCTTGAAAAAAAATGGACAACCTAATTTTCTCAACCTTTTGTTCTCACTCAAATCAACGGCTGACATTGTCCGCGACTGCCGAGCCCCTGAAATCCCGTTTCTCTAGCATTGCTCTCCTAAATTACGTAATTAAGATTCGAAACGTGCCTGTGGTGCAATTAAACCTTTAAAAGCCCCCCAAACACTCTTCTCTCTCACACTCTCTAGATTTACTGAGTTTTATCAGCTCCCAAGCTGAAGAAATCTTCCATGAAATGGTATAGCACTTACTGGAACCAGTCACTACCCATTTGGCCCATTTCTCCAAATACCAAGGCAAATCAAAGTTTGCATTTTTTATTCAATTTCTTTTCCAAGATTTTTTATAAGTAAAGTTTATATTTTTCAAAACTTGGGTGGTGGCAGAGAGATTTGAATCACTGAACCAGAGAGAGAGAGAGAGAGAGAGAGAGGAAAGATGAAGCTTTTCTGGGTTAGCATTGTAATTTCACTTGCTTGCAGCAAATGGGTTGCTGGGTTTATGGAGTACGGATACAATGAAACAGAGATTGCATTGTTGGAGGGCTACGGGGAGTCCAAGGTCGGAGCTAACTTGCTGATGGTCGGACTAACCCTCATTCGAGGAGCTGGAGCTAAACGAGCAGGTAAAATCTCCACTCCTATGATATACATTTTGCATATTGTTACAAGACGATATTCTAAACTACTCTGATTTGATTTACGGGGATTGGGAATCGAACTCTGACGAACTGGCTTAACCCACATCTGTATTTTTCATTTTTTGATTCGAAACATTTTGCATATTGCTTGATTTAGATAAAGTTTGTACCTTTTTCCTGTTTTTCTCTGTACTTCTTTCGGAGAGGTGAGAAAACAGATTATATGCTATATATTGATTGCTTTGTCCCTCGATTTATGTATTTATTGTAGCTTGTATTGCAATTTTCCTGGAAACATCTTATTTATTACTTTTTGAAATTCTGTTTTCTGAGTTCTTTAATTCCTTCAGTGGTCTAACATTCTGAGTGAGATTCCTGCTTGAATGATTAGCATACTATTTATCATGAAGCTGATGTGATTGGTGTTAAATTTGTTATTTATTTATTTATTTTCCCATTCATATAGTGAATCATTTCTTATTCATTGTTCCTGAATGATAGTGACTTGAGTTTTATATATTTATTTGAGATCTGACTTATTTTTATTTTGGCTTAATTTACCTGCTCGAGTTTTCTGATTTTGCAGTCTGCTTGGATGGAACCTTACCGGGCTATCATTTGCATCGCGGATATGGATCAGGAGCAAATAGTTGGCTCATTCAATTGGAGGTTTGTGATTCTGAGATAAATAAAAAAGAAAAACTAATGAAAAGACTCGAAAACTTTGAGTTTTAACGATAAAGACAAAATAAAGAGTAAAGTGAATAATAGCAAAATTGACTTTTTAATGTAAAAATGTGGTTTTTCATTAAAGTGAATAGTACCGGAAGCTTTTCGTTAAAGTTCCCAAATAAAAAACAATGACATCTTGTAATTATGCAGTATTATATTCATTCTTTTGTATATCAAAATCTTAAAGATGGTTTCTGAAATACGAACTTGCAAGCGTGTCGTGAATGAAAATTATCAGATGACTAGTTTTAAAATCATCCAAAATGTTTTCTAAACATGTAAAACATGTTTTTATCATGTTACTTATTGGTTGATTGATTTCCAAACAAGCCTCTCAAGTCCTTTGATTTGTTGACAATTTGCGTAGTTTAGGAATTGACTTGAATAAACATCTTGTGGCAGGGGGGAGGATGGTGTAACAACATTAGAACTTGTGTTTACCGAAAAACATCAAGGCGGGGATCATCAAAATACATGGAAAAACAGGTAGCATTTAGTGGAATACTGAGCAATAAAGCCCAAGAAAATCCTGGTTTGTTCCTCTAACTTAATGCTAAATTGTCTAAGATTATACTTGCATCTGCTTTTTTCTAGTTTAGTCTTCTTGACCCTCACCTTATCATGTATGGGGTTGCAGATTTTTTCAACTGGAACAGAGTAAAGGTTCGTTATTGCGATGGTGCTTCTTTTACTGGGGATAGTGAACACAAGGTTAGGAGGCTGTTCTCAATGTTTACATTTTGCTACCAAATGGCGGTATTGATATCATTTGGCAGCTAAAAATTGGCTTCAGACTGATAAATCCAACATAAATATGGTAGTACTGGATGATAGCTCGACTATTTTCATTCATATGTGCACATGAGATGCTAAAATATAGTGTTTCTTTTAGGCTAAACAACTGCAATTTAGAGGGGAGCGTATATGGTTGGCTGCAATGGAAGACTTGAAATCAAGGGCATGCGCTACGCCAAGCAGGTACAATACTTCTTGCTTATGATCTATTCACATGCTATGCCACTTTTTACTGTATATTAACCAATTGTGTTTCAGGCTCTTCTTTCAGGTTGCTCAGCCGGAGGTCTGGCAGCTATTTTGCACTGTGATAAGTTCCGAGGTTTAATGCCAGGAAATACAAAGGTGAAGTGCCTGAGCGATGCTGGATTGTTTCTTGATGCGTAAGTACTATCCGGAATGCATTTTCTCTTTCCAGTGTGGAGGCATGCTGTAGCTTATTAACACAGATTTTAATTGGGAACCTGTATCTTGTAGGCATGACGTTTCTGGTGGACACACACTCAGGAATTTATATAGTGGCATCGTTGGCTTGCAGGTATTGACTCGATCTTAAAGAATTGTAACCCACTACCAATCCATGTTTTATCTTCATGTTTTTTGTGTGCATGTTTTCAATGTATGCTTACGGGTTTTCAATGTATGCTTATGGTATTATATTATGTTTATCACAGGGGGTGAAACCAAATCTGCCACATTTTTGCACTAATCACCTTGATCCAACTTCGGTAATAATTTCCTTTTCCCTTCTTATATATTTTTTCTGACTTGAAGATAGGTGGTTTGACACAAAAAAAAAAAAAAAAAAAAACTTGAAGATAGGTGGAAATGTAGAAAAGTTATGTGCACTGCTATTTAGTATTTACACTTCAATTACCATCCTTCCTTGCAGTGCTTCTTCCCTCAGAACTTGATCTCCAGCGTCAAAACCCCACTGTTTATACTCAATGCAGCATATGATTCGTGGCAGGTAAAGTTTCGTTATTATAGGATTTAAAATTTGGTTTTACCTGATGTTCCATGCTGCACAGTGTTTGAGAAATGATGGAATAATTCTGCCTGAAAACAGATCCAGTCCAGTTTAGCTCCACCAGCAGCAGATCCTGCCGGCTACTGGCGCGATTGCAGATTAAACCATGCAAAATGTACTTCATCACAGATCAATTTTCTTCAAGGTGATCCCACATTTGAGGAACTACTTTGAATCTTATCATTTTCAGAAACAAATTAACTGAATTTGTACAGCTTGTTATGAACTTTTTTTTTCTTCTTTTAAACAGGATTCAGGAATCAAATGCTGAATGCAGTAAAACGGTTCTCTATGTCTAAACAAAACGGGCTGTTTATAAATTCGTGTTTTGCTCACTGCCAATCCGAGAGGCAGGATACATGGTTTGCTGATGATTCTCCAGTTATTGGCAAGAAGGTGAGCCTCTGATGCAACATAGTATATCCAGTTCTCGTCCAATCATAAAAATCAAGCGACCTTAAATTTTAATTCTTATGTTTATGTGTGACTAATAATATGCAGGCAATTGCTATAGCAGTTGGAGATTGGTATTTCGACAGAACAAGCGTGAAGGCCATAGATTGTCCCTATCCATGTGACAATTCTTGCCACAATCTGAATTTCGAAAGAGCTTAGTTTTCCCTTTCGTTGAATGAAATAGCTTTATAGTTCGATTGAAAATTGATATAGAAGACAATAAAAAGGAAATCTGCTGAGAAAAGCAAATGCCATCAGCAAGCATTTCGCAATTGATGTAATGCTTTTGGTGCAAGTTCTTCATATCTTTGAGTATGTCTCCAACAAACTCAGTTGGTGCATTAGCAAATTAGTAGTTGAAGAGGTAGAGAGAAGTCTCACTTCTTTAAGGAGTTTGTAATAGATTATGTGATGATTTTGATTCTGGGTTCTGTTCAGTGTTTTATGTAAGGTGTTAGCAACTCTGTATTGCAGCCATTTGATTTTTTCCCGTTTCTGGGCAACTTCGGTTGAATTACTCCCACAAGAATTCATCTCCTCTGTTAAACTTTATTTCGATTTATGTTGTGATAAGATGGCCACAGTGAAGTAAGAATTCAATAAACATTCTGATTTAACCGAGAACCAACGCGCAGTCGAATGTTTTACCAGTTTAGGAATTGAGTTTCGTTTTTATCTCCAGATTTCGAGCGTCGGCACTGTGGCTAAGCCTACCATCAGTATGTTATTTGAAGCCTTGGAACCTCCATAGTTGAACTTTTGATTGATATTTTTCAGGGATTATTTGATAGTTGTGATGGTTTTTGTGTTCACCAGTCACTGTCAATCAGCGTCTGTTACATGACTTGGGAAACACTCTTCTATATAGACAACTTACATACTAAGTTGCGTAAACTCTGAGATAACAAAAACGAAAGAGGGGACGGGTTTCGGACTTAATCCAAGGATTACCTTGAAGCATCAACAACATCCAATGACAGTATCTGTATATATAACCATGCGGAATCGGAAGTAGTCTGGTTTACCATGGTGGATGAGAAGGGCCTTAATTTGTTCATTTCGAAATCGAACGCTCCAAGCTTTTGTTAAATTAAGGAAGTTCGTACCGGACATTTCTTCTTAGTTTTTCCCATTTCTGGGCAGCTTTAATTGACTTAGTACTATAAGAATTCATTTCCTCTTTTTTCAGTCCATTTCCTTTTATTTTCTGATAAGCTGGTGAAAAATTGTTGATGCGACGTCTGGAGCTGCCAGATTTGACTAAGCACTAACGTACGTATATTCAAATCCTCTCCAATTTAATTAAGATTTGACTTTCGTTTATATATCTAAGTTTCCGAAGACTTGGGGCCGAGAGATTGGAGGAGAGAGAGAGCCATGGTGAAGTTCTTGTGGGTTGGCATTGTAACAGCACTTGTTTTCAGAATATGGGTTGATGGGTTTGTGGAAGAGAAGAATTTTGATGAGACGGTGCCGTCTTTGTTGGAGACCTATGGAAGCTCCGAGGCTGCAAATGACATACTCATGGTAGGGCTAACACTCGTCAAAGGAGCTGCTGCCAAAGGAGCAGGTATGCCATACAATGATGTATACTCTAAAACTTTTGCAGTTCTTGGTTAATCCTTATTCCGTTTAATTTACCTACTTTGCAGTCTGCTTGGATGGAACGGTACCTGCTTACCATTTGCATCGTGGATATGGATCGGGGGCGAACAGTTGGCTCATTCACCTTCAGGTTTGTGAGATAGATCAGAAAAAAATGACATATTTTATACGTTTCTATGTCGACATTGGGATAATTATACTGTAAAGATAGTTTGAGGAAAATAGCAAGTTCATGTTTCCTTTTAGTTATTTTCTTTTGGACTTCATGATTCCTTTTAGTTGATTGATCACCAAGCAACCCTCTGAAGTCCTTGTTGATGCAGGGAGGAGCATGGTGTAACGACACCAAAAGTTGTTCTAACCGCAAGCTTTCACCTTATGGATCATCAGCGCACATGGAACCAGAGATAGCATTTTCTGGAATACTAAGCAATCACTCTGAAGAAAATCCCGGTTTTCTCCTCAAACTTAATGCTACATTGTTTAAAGCTGATGCATCTGCCTTTTTTTTATACTTGTTTAGCCGTCTTAACCATTATCATGTAAGGGACTGCAGAGTTTTTCAACTGGAATAGAGTAGAGCTCCGGTATTGTGACGGTGCTTCATTTTCTGGGGACAGCGAAAATCAGGTAGGTGGGATGATCTTTCCGTTTACAGTTTCCCACAAAATTATGATAGCGACTATAGTAGTGCAGCTATTGGAACGAAAAATTAACTTCCTTGTATCGGGAGGTACTTTGTGTATTTCTGTTCCTAAGTGCAAATGAGAAGCTAAAATATAGTGATTCTTCTTTTAGGCAGCAAAACTGAAATTTAGAGGACAGCGTATATGGTTAGCTGCAATGGACGATTTGATGTCAAAGGGAATGCGCAACGCGAATCATGTACTACATTTCTTTATGCTAAAGAAATTTTTGTGTTGCCGTGTTAAGCCACTTCTCAAAGCATATTAATCCATCATACGTTAGGCTCTTCTTTCTGGTTGCTCTGCCGGCGGTCTGTCATCAATTTTGCACTGTGATGAGTTTCGGGGCTTGTTTCCTACAACTACAAAAGTGAAGTGCCTGAGTGATGCTGGACTTTTTCTTGACGTGTGAGTACTGTATCCGTGATGCCTTTTCTCTGTCAATGTTCCTTGCTAGTTATTTACAGTTCAAATTTTATTGCTGATATCCTGTATGGAACTGTAGGGTTGATATTTCCGGTGAACGCACAATGAGGGATTTTTATAGTGGTGTAGTAAGCTTGCAGGGGGTGCAAGAAAATCTGCCGCGATTCTGTACTAGTCACCTCGATCCTACTTCGGTAAACAATTTTTTTTTTCCTCTTTCAGTTTTTGGATTTGAAGATAGGTGGTAACTTGAAGTAAGTTTTACACTGTTTCTTACTTTGCAGTGCTTCTTCCCGAAGAACTTAATTGTGAACATTACAACCCCACTATTTATACTCAATTCAGCATACGATTCATGGCAGGTAATTGTTCATTGTAAATTTGAATATGGTGTTAATTATTTGAAAATTACTGGACGGACTTTTACTGAAAGAATGCATTGAATTGTACTTCCCCACTTGAAATCAGATCAATAACAGTTTAGCTCCACCATCAGCAGATCCGCACGGCGAGTGGAAGAGTTGCAGATATAACCTTGCAAGTTGTTCTGCATCACAGATGCAAATTCTTCAAGGTGAAATCCCACATACGAGGAAGTTTTCAACTCATAAAAGTTGCAACAGCTTGAGAAACAAACTAAACATGTGGCTTTTGTGACATTATTTCTCTGTTGTATATGGAACAGGATTCAGGAATCAAATGCTGAATGCAGTAAAACAATTCTCAATGCGTAATCAAAGTGGGATGTTCATAAATTCGTGTTTGGTGCACTGTCAAACGGAGAAAAGTGCATGGTATGCTAATGAATCTCCAGCTCTTGGAAACAAGGTGAGCCTGTTTAACTACTAACACACACAAACAGAAACAGAAACACATGCATTATATGTAGAGAGAGTTTGAACTTTAAAGATATCTAAAACTTACCGTATATGACGGATTATTGCAGACAATTGCAGAAGCTGTTGGAGATTGGTATTTTGATAGAGCAGAGGTTACGGTTGTTGATGAAACTTGCCGCCATCTGGCTCTCGAATGAGAATTGATTGACAGATTATTTACATGGTCATTGTATTGAGTTGTCTGCACTATAATACCATCCCTTCTGCTTAATGAAATAACTTTGTAACAACTGAAATCAATAGAATTCTACTACCAAGTTCAAGAACCAAAAAACAAATGAATGAACACCATTCGCACTCTTCCATTGTGACAATGTTGAGTAGTGCAGTGATACCAGATTCCTTGTCTGGGCCATGTATTAGTTCCTTGCCTCCAACGCAGTCAATCTCCCATCATGGTCTGGACACTATTTCCCCCTACTCCGCCGGACACAAATTCAAACAGTTTACGTGGATGTATGATGATATTTACTGTTGGATGCGTAAATTGTTGATGATATAAACGTACTTTATATAGCTAGTTACAAGTAACTTTTGGATCTCACCAATATTAGAGAGTGTATCAACAAATGTGTCAGTTTTGATGGTCGAAATAGCATCGCCCTAAAAATCAACGTACACGTAGGGTTTATGTGGTGTAATGGATTGCACATATGTAGTGAAAGTTGTTGGGAAACACAGATTAAAACATTCTTCCCTTTTCAGTTTTAATCTTAATTCCATCCGTTGACAAAGTAGATAATTGGCGTCTTCCCTGAACAACCATGTTTTTAGAGACTTCTCTGAATATGTATGTATGTATACATGTATATATATGTATGTATGTATGTATATATATGTGTGTGTGTGTGTGTGTGTAAATATATAAAAACCCTTTCTACTTTGGTAATTGAATAACTAATTAATTAATTGCTATTTGCTTCAGCTGCTTCAGTATTCTGATTAAATTATGCCCCACAGTTCGAAACCAGACAAAGAGAGCTAATAACTTGTGTATTACGTGAATCATCCTACTCCCATGTTACCCTTCCTAATTTGGAACATATCTTAATATTTGCTAGAGAAGGTCTGGTGTTTGTGTGCAGTAAAGGAATCAAATTTCCTATCTCTCTCTCTCTCTCTCTCTGAGTTCACATTTTGGAGAGAGTTGAAATTAACAATCTTCAATGATTGTGGCAAGATATGAGACTCTCTCGAATTATTTGGAATGACTTGTGTGTAAGATTCCTCACCATTGACCCCTCGTCTGGAGGGATGAATAAAGATAATGGCCATTTGCAATTGAATAGCTTTTCCTTGATTTATACCCATGTTCTTCATTTGCGTTTCGTTTTTATATCTACGTCTTCGAAGACTTGGGTGGCGGAGAGATTGAAGGGAGAGGAGAGCCATGGTGAAGTTCTTGTGGATTGGCATTGTAACAGCACTTGTCTTCAGAACTTGGGTTGATGGGTTTGTCGAAGAGAAGAATCTTGATGAGACGGTGCCGTCTTTGTTGGATACCGACGGAAGCTCCAAGGCTTTTAATGACACACTACTCATGGTAGAGCTAACACTCGTCCAACAAGCTGCTGCTAAAGGAGCAGGTATGCCATACAATGATGTATGCTCTAAAATTTTTGCAGTTCTTAATTAATCCTTATTCCTTTTAATTTACCTACTCTGCAGTCTGCTTGGATGGAACAGCACCTGCTTATCATTTACATCGTGGATATGGATCGGGAGCGAACAGTTGGCTCATTCACCTTCAGGTCTGTGAGATAGATCAGAAAAAATGACATATTTATACGTTTCTATGTCGATATTGGGATTATTATATCATAAAGATAGTTTGAGAAAAATGGCAAGTTCATGTTTCCTTCTAGTTATTTTCTTTTAGACTTCATGATTCCTTTTAGCTGATTGATCACCAAGCAACCCTCTGAAGTCCTTGTTGATGCAGGGAGGAGCATGGTGTAACGACACCAAAAGTTGTTCTAACCGCACAACTTCACTTTTCGGATTGGGATCATCAGCGTACATGGAACCATATATGGCATTTTCTGGAATACTAAGCAATCAATCTGAGGAAAATCCCGGTTTCTCCTCAAACTTAATGCTACATTGTTTAAGGCTGATGCCTGCATCTGCCTTTTTTTTACCCTTTAGTTTAGCCATCTTAGCCATTATCTTGTAAGGGACTGCAGAGTTTTTCAACTGGAATAGAGTAGAGCTCCGCTATTGCGATGGTGCTTCATTTTCTGGGGACAGCGATAGTCAGGTTGGTGGGATGATCTTGCCATTTACATTTTTCCACAAAATTATGATAGGGGCTGTAGTGGTGCTGCAGCTATTGGAAGGTACTTTGTGTATTTCTGTTCATAAGTGCAAATGAGAAGCTAAAATATAGTGATTCTGCTTTTAGGAAGCAAAACTGCAATTTAGAGGACAGCGTATATGGTTATCTGCAATGGACGATTTGATGTCAAAGGGAATGCGTGACGCGAAAAATGTACTACATTTCTTCATTCTAAAGAATTTTTTGTGTTGCCATGTTAAGCCACTTCTCAATGCATATTAATCCATCATCCATTAGGCTCTTCTTTGTGGTTGCTCTGCCGGCGGTCTGTCATCAATTTTGCACTGTGATGAGTTTCGGGGCATGTTTCCCACAAGTACAAAAGTGAAGTGCCTGAGTGATGCTGGATTTTTTCTTGACGCGTGAGTACTATATCCGTAATGTCTTTTCTCTTTGTCAATGTTCCCTGCTAGTTATTAACACTTAAAATTTTATTGGTGATATCCTGTATGGAATCGTAGGGTTGATATTTCCGGTCAACGCACACTGAGGGATTATTATAGCGGTGTTGTAAGCTTGCAGGGGGTGCAAGAAAATCTGCCGCGATTCTGTACTAGTCACCTTGATCCTACTTCGGTAAACAAGTTGTTTTCCTCTTGGCAGTTTTGGTTTGACAATAGGTGGTAACATAAAATAAGTTGTACACTACTTACTTTGCAGTGCTTCTTCCCGGAGAACTTAATTGTGAACATTACAACCTCGCTATTTATACTCAATTCAGCATACGATTCATGGCAGCTAATTGTTCATTTTGAGCTTGAATATGGTCTTAATTATTTGAGAATTACTGGACAGACTTTTACTGAAAGAATGCATTGAATTGTACTTTCCCCCTTGAAATCAGATCAATAATAGTTTCGTTCCACCATCAGCAGATCCGTGCAGCGAGTGGGAGAGTTGCAGATTTAACCTTGCAAGTTGTTCCGCATCACAGATGCAAATTCTGCAAGGTGAAATCCCACACACAAGAATTTTTTTTTTTTTTTTGAAGTCTTAAAATTGAGAAACAAACTAAACATGTAACTTCTGTGACGTTAACTTTCGGTTATATATGTAACAGGATTCAGGAATCAAATGCTGAATGCAGTAAAACAATTCTCAATGCCTAATCAAAATGGGATGTTCATAAATTCGTGTTTGGTGCACTGTCAAACGAAGGAAAGTGCATTGTTTGCTCATAAATTTCCAGCTCTTGGAAACAAGGTGAGCCTGTTTAACTACTAACACAAGCAAACACAAACATATGCATTATATGTAGAGAGAGTTCGAAGATATCTAAAACTTTGTATGTGACGGATTACCGCAGACAATTGGAGAAGCTCTTGGTGATTGGTATTTTGATAGAGCAGAGGTTAAGGTTGTTGATGAAACTTGCTGCGATCTGGCTCTTGAATGACCATTGTTTGATCAAATTATTTACACTGTCATTGTATTGAGTTGTCTGCACTATAATACTACCCCTTCTGCTTAATGAAATAATTTTGTAATAATTGAAATCAATAGAATTCTACCATCAAAGTTCAAAGACCGAAAAACAAATGAACGAATTGGATGAAAGACGGTAAAAGCGCTGGCAGATGATTGAACAATATTCTCATTCTTCCATTGTGACAACGATCAGTAGTGCGGTGACACCAGATTCCTTGTCTGGAAGATGTACTAGTTCCTTGTCTCCAGCACAGTCAATCTCCCATCGTGGTCTGGACACAATTTCTTCCACTCTGCCGGACACAATTCAAACGGTTTACGTTGAAGTATGATGATATTTATTGTTGGATGCGCATACATGGCCTTTCTCATCTAGTTCTATGTACACGTTTCACGGTTGATTTGTATTTTGACATTCATAATTTATATGTGTATAGAGAAAATGAGGCCAATTCTTAAGCAGAATCCGTTCATCTGTAGCTGGAGCAGGACTTTTGCAACATTAAGAAGAGACGTATCACAGTAAAGTAGGCAAATCAAATCTCCATTATCCCAGTAAAGTGTGGAGAAAATCAGGCTTCTTCCTAAACAAGCGGGATCCATGTCGATAACATATCCGCAACTATTGTATTAGTATGTATACCGTTGACAATATGTTCTTCATGTGGATACCAATCCAGTTACGATTGAGTGGGATCCCTCTATAGAGAAAAGTATCAATCAAAACTCTTGTGCTTATCAAAATTACCGTGTTTGTTGCATACATGACTTGGGAAACACTTTATAGACTAAGTTGTGTAAACTTGCTGGCCAAGAAATAAGAGGGCATTTTTTGGCTTAAATCTAAGAAGTACGTTGAAGTAGTTAATCACTTCTAATAGTTTTGGCTTACCATGGAGGAGTGGAAAGGCCATAAATTTATCGTTTCGAAAACTCCAAGCTTTTGTTAGATTTAAGAAATCCATCCATGCAGCTATTTTATCTTGTTTTCCCCTTACCCCACAAAAATTCATTTCCTCTTTTAAAGTTAGAATGGATTAACAAGTAAAAACTCTCAACTAATATATATCTTAGAGAACTTCTATACTAAAGGGTGTTGAGTAAGTTGTTAGTTGCAGGGTGTATAAGGAGCCACTCGATTGTGGAGAAAATGATTAGAGACTAAATTTCAATTGTTGAATATATTAAAATTGAATAACGACGATTTGAATATTGACAACAGAGTGATCAAATATCAATGACATACTGAAAAATCATTTCAGCAATTGAGATTTGAAAATGATGGTGTTATCCACACATCCATTTTCATCTCTTACACACACTTTGTTAATTTATATCATTAGATTTTTGTCAATTTATATGACCCGATGATTGCAAATTGAGCAAGGCATGTGGAAGATAAAAATTGGTGTGTGATAACATCACCGTTTGAAAAACATTTTGTTCAATTTTGAGTTGATAGATGAATTTAATGGCTACTAAACAACCCATGCACCAAACCTCCTCACCTAAACTAACCAGATCTAACCGCTCTTGTTCAAATATGTAACTCAAATGTGCATTTCTATGTGCACTGGTGAAAAGTCACAATATATATTGTATATAACTATATACAACTTATGTCGGCTTTTGCCAAATCTTTTGCAAAATGCTAAGGCCCAGTTATATCAAACCCATTTAGCCTAATATGCAAGAAAAGTGTTGCTTGATTAACAGTTTGTTCATTAAAAAATGGTTAACGATACTACGTGCTCATATAATTTGGGCCATCTAACGGGTTGACCCGTGCCTTTCAACATTTGGTTTCCGAATGTAACACACTCGGTTGGCTTATGCTTTTTGCTTATATAGATGAAATGTTGATTAACATATACAATTCGACAATAAATAAGAACATTTTTCTTTTGACGGCGAGAGAGAACAACAGTGAACCAATTTGTAAACTTCAGGGTAAATTTTCAAATTTTGAAATCTTATAGACCACATTGTTACGCACCCTGAAAATAGCAATAAAACTAAAATGTTGGTAAGGGACTCCAAAAAATGGCATCAAAAGAGAACAACAGTGAACCAATTTGTAAACTTCAGGGTAAATTTTTAAATTTTGAAATCTTATAGACCACATTGTTACGCATCTTGAAAATAGCAATAAAACTAAAATGTTGGTAAGGGACTCCAAAAAATGGCATCAAACACCCCACTAAAGTGTATTTTTCTGTATATTTCTATATGTTTGGAGTGTGCAAAATAACTTTTTTGGGAGTGCTTGTAACAACTCCCTCAAACTATTCGAAAACATAAAACTAACACACTTTGCTGACACAGATGAGTCTTACTATTGTATGTGGATCTCACCGATATTAGAGAATGTATCACTGACGCAGGACGAGCGTAGGAGGATTATAAGCGTAATTCCTCGAAGTACAAACTTATGGAATCCAACAGTTTAGAGAGAAAAATCTCAAAAGTATTTTTGATTAATTGTTGAATTGATGAGGTTACATAAACAACCAAATGGCTTATAAGGACACTAATTTAGCTCTGGGGAAACTCAGAGGCCTTAGAAAATTCAAAATACGATTTAATTTGGACGAAAGTCGAAATGTTCGATGTTTATTACAAAATTTCAAATGCTCTTTTGGAAGCCTAAACAGTTTCGGATGGCTAAAATTCATCATATATCACGACAATCAATAAGTTGGAACCGCATCGTCGTTCCCTTTTTGAAAAGGTATCAAGGCCCAAATCAGAGCTCGGACGTCAAATTTGTAAATTCCCGTTGCGTTTTCCATCAGTCCAATTCCTCTTCAATCCACTCGGCCATTTGTTCTGCATTATGTGTCAGTTTTAAAGGGACAAGTATTATCGCCCTAAAAACCAACTTGCACGTAGGATGTATGTGGTATAATGGATAGCATAATATGTTATGAGAATTGTTGGAAAACACAGATTAAAACATTCTTACCTTTTCACCATATCATAAATGAAGGGCACACAAAATTTACTGCATTTTGCGGCGCTGGTAGAACCCTGCGAAAGGTATCCACTCCTGTGAACTAAACTAACACCCTGCAAAAGGTATCCACTCCTGTGAACTAAACTATCACGATATGATAGTTTTATTCTTAATTCCATCCGTTGACAAAGTAGCTAGGGATCAATTGTCGCCGTCCCTGAACAATCATGTTTTCAGAGACTTCTCTTTGTATGCATCTTTTTATTCTCCTCTATCTCTAAATCATTATATATAAAAACCTTTTCTACTTTGTTAATTAATTAATTAATTGCTATTTGCTTTAGCTGCTTCTCTGTTCTGATTAAATTATGCTCCAAAGTTCGAAACCAGACAAAGAGAGTTGATTTTAATTTGTGTATTATGTTGCATTAGTGATCCTACCCCCATGTTACTCTTCATAATTTGCAACATATTTTAATATTAGCTAGAGAAAGGTGTTGTGTTTGTGTGCAGGAATCAAATTTCCTCCCTCCCTCTCTCTCCCTCTGTCTCTCTCTCTCAGTTCACATTTTGGAGAGGGTTGAAATTAACAATCTTCAATGATTGTGGCAAGATATTAGACTTTCTCTCGGATTATTTGGAATGATTTATGTGTAAGATTCCTCATCATTAACCCTTTGATTGTCTGCAGGGATGGATAATGATAATTTATGATTAATTGTATTGTTCTCCGGGGCCAATTTTTTTCGGTGTTTTCTTCTGCTTCAACTCAACATTAAATTATCTATACATTGAAAGCTACTAAAACGGTGGTGTTATATACAGTAATAGTTAGCTTTAATTTAAAATCAAAATAATATTAAGTAAACTAAAGAAACTCTCCATGATACTTTGGGGTTTAGGGTTTAAGAAAAAAAGCATATCGACAATTTGCCAGTTGTTACGGACTATATTTTATAAGTTGATGGCAAAGTAGTTTTACTCTGTGTGTGTGTGTGTGTGTGTGCTGGATGTCTATAACAATCATGTGAGGTAATATATGTTGCACTTGCTATGGAGATTTCAAGTACCGTATTTGTGAGAGAAACATACATGTCACGGTTTATATCATTTTTTATCTTTCTCCTCACTTGATAAGTCGTTTAAAGAGAGAGATATTGATAAACGACTAGAAAAAGATATTAGGTAGTACTACCTGATTAGGACAGTTTCTCACATTTTGATGGTACTGTATGAGGTTGGTATGAACAAATTAAAAGAAGCCTAAATATTTTTATAAGTAATGCTCTATAAATGACGTGGTCGGTAATCTTAATTGTGCATGACGGCCATACACTTATATATTGTCACAAATGAGAGACTATGCTGGTTTTTCTGTGCAGCAGATTCCTCGATGGAATCTCTGCCAACAAAGAACAACTAATTAATACTCGTATCACTTTTTAAATCTCCTTCTGAACCTCAAAGTGTTTAGGTGAAAAAGAACATTCTATGAACATCGATTCTAATGCAAGAAACATTAACACTTTTTAATTCCTGCCCTGTGTCGAAGTTCTTGATCATCTTGATATTTCCTGTACATTTGCACCAGAACAAAATCTTCTGCCAATAATATTTTACTTATACGATCATCATTAGGTTAATCATTTTAATCACATTCCGTTCATCTCAGTTGTTTATAGAACTATTAGCATATTCGACCAAAAGAAGTATTAATATAATATATTAGAAGAAGAAAAAGAAGTAAAGATTCCAATTTATTAAATTAAAACATTTGAGTTTCTCTAAGCATAACATTATAAAATACCAAAGAAATCAAAATTGGCAACTGCATTACTGTAATCCCATCTTCTCCTCTCTCAGCCTGGTCAATATTGCAATGCTTTTTGTTCTTTACCAACACCCTTTAAATCGTAGGTCCCCAACAGTAGACCAATAATTTGGTTCACATGCATCTCCATATATAATATAAACACATAATGTTTATATATGTTTATATATATTTATGTAAATATAAATTGATATTTATATATTAATCTGCAAGAGGGTGAGTCTTGAAAGCAATGAAAAAGTTGTTTCTCTGTAATTAAAAGGTCATGAGTTCGAATTGTTAAAACAACCTTTTGCAAAGCAAGAATATAGATGTGTATGATAAATGCTCTTCCCATCCTCGCAAAGTAGAGAAACTTGTTAGCTTGAGATCGTCCTATTTATATATTAATCTGCAAAAGAATAAAAAGAAAACTTGGGCATATTCTACGAGGGAAACCATACAACGATGTCTGTGAGAATGCGTGGACAAACAAAATGGAGTCTGTCGTGTATTTCAGAGGAGGAAAGACGTGGCTTTTTGCACTTGAATAGCTTTTCCTTGACTCTACCCATGCCTCTATTATTTTCATCGTTTCTTTTTCCTCAAATGGTATGAAATAGTATATGGAAATTTTCGAAACTAAAATTTTCATTTTTATTTATCAAATTATTAGGCAGACAGGCGCTGTAAATTGTAACAACAGAAATGGTAGAATAGTCATTAGCCACCAATGTACCAATGATAAAGTGCGTGTGATATGAATGGATGTACATATATGATATATTACCCTTTGTCTTTCTAAATAATGTAAAGATGCTCAATTCACCTCATGAGTCATGAGGACCATCCTCCACAGTAGTACTGTTATGAATTTTCTTTTTATGAGTCGAGTCTTTATAGTGCAAAGTCAATTCTTTTACCATCTATACAAGAGATTTTTTAGCGTCACTAATTGTATGCAATATGTGTTATGCGACGACAAGTATAACCGCTTACATATGTGTATATGGTTGATGATCCAACATTTTTTTTCTCAGTTATGTATATACAGATCCCACTCAACTCTTCTCCTCCTCAGTACTGCTATTATGAATTTTCGTTTTATGAGTTTGCATAGGGCAGACTGGCAGGATCAATTATTTTGTTTTCTACATGAGAGATTTTTTATGTCATCGATTGTATACAGTTAAATGCTACGTGATGTTAGATAAAGAGTCATAACAATATATCAATGATGATTGATATCTTTTCTTTTAGTGTGTCTCCTTTTTATGTGTATGCCCTTATGTATATGTCTTTCTCTTTACCAAACACATCACATGAGGAGAAAAACAGATCATAGATTAAATATACCTGATTTCATGTTAGTTTTAGCCATGTAAATTGGTTATATTAATGCATATACAATGTTACTCTGTGCTTTTCATTCCCAATAGCAAGATTTACCCTTTGTCTTGCTACATAAGGTAAAGATGCTTGGTCATGACATGATTCATGAAAAGTTGAAAACCCTCCTCCACAGTACCACTACTATAAATTTCCCTCTTCATAATTCTGCAAAGTCAATTCTACCTTCTTCTACACGTTCCACTGCTAAACTCTCTCTCTCAATCTCGAGAATAACTTACACCACACGAGTTCATCATTACAATGATGTCCTATGTCAATGAAATAAACACATGTACAAATTTTTTTGTTCATAAATCATTTTTCATTAGCGTAAAAAGTCATGTGTCAGTATACAAGTGCCATATAAAATATTTCTCTCCCACTTCCTTTTTTTCTTTGAAGTTTCAGCATCTTGCAGGGACCCAATTCTCTGTTCCTCACATATCGAAGTAGTAAAAGGTTCAGGCCCACTCTTGGGACACAGCACACGGTGTGCTAGCTCTTGTGATGCAGTATATAGTACGAAATTATATAGCTTTCTCACAATATGTCACCTTCCTCTAAGCTACTGTACAATTAAATATCGATATTTCTGTGTACTGAATTGGAAGTCTATTCTTCTTAAGATAACGTTATAGCCACAGAGACTACGTAGTCTTTTGCCTATTTGCCACCAAGAAAACAATCAGACAAGAATTGATGGCTTTTATTGTATTACAAGTCATTTTTCATATGTTTTCTGACCATTTCTAGCTAGCAGCTGGATTCTCATCAATATAGTGTTGGAATCCTGCCTCCCTCATCTATTTTCCATTTTAATTTGTCTAATTATTTCGAATCATTTTGTTGTTTTTGTATATGAGATTGACGTAGTAAAAGAAAGGCGGTAAATTCATGTTTTCAGCCATCGAGTCTTAGAAGAGGTGATAAACTTTGTTAGGGCTTTTGATTAGAACAGCTTTCACTACGAGTAGAATTAGTGTAAAAGAAAGACCGTAATTTCATTTCATGCCTTTAACCATTGAGTCTTTTGACCAATTTTATTTTTTTATTTTTTTATTTTTTATTTTAAAGGGATGTTTGATTAGGTCAGCGTTCACGTTGGATATGACCCACATAAAAACGCACTGAACCAAATACAAAAATTATAAACCTTTGTGAAAAGTGTTAACAGATGAATTATCAGACATTCTTATCTAAGTTTTGTTAAAGCGAATTTGGAAAGGAGAGGTAGCGGCATAGTGCCATAGACACTGTTAAAAACTTAAAGGTGAAAACATCTCCATCTCTAGGAGATAGTGACAAACACTCATTTGAGAAAAATGGCCTCAAATTTTGAACTTTAGAAAATATAATGTTCTGTATTTTTTTTCAAACCTGAAAAGGATCAAGACAGAAAGTGATGTATGTCATTTGAAAAGAAAAAAAACAATGGATCCCAAGAAACCAGATGTATTTTTGGTTGTCTTACAGATTTGAAAGAGGTGAAGGCGAAAGAAAGTAATCATCCAGCTTCAAACTTGTACTTATGGAAACTTAATTCTATAGATACACACAGATATATATATATATATATGTATGTATGTATACGTGTGTGTATAGGTTCTTGACTATATGACATCCTGGTGTGACAAGAACACATGAGATTCCTCGTCACTAGAACATTTTTTTGAAAATTTATAGAAACGCTTTAGTTTTACTGTTATTTTTAATATCGAGAATTAATTATCCCCTCTCACTTTACACGCTCAAGATATTTTGAGAACAGTATACATCAGAGAGGGAAGAAGGCAAACTCGGCCGCACGAAGTGGGCACAAAATTCGTGCGCACGGGCGAATCAATAATGTATTTTGATTGTTTGCAATTAAATCTACAATAATTGAATCAAGAACAACAATAAGATACATAAGATGGAGGAGAAACATGTAACAAAAGCCCTTATTTCTGTAACTCTCAACCCTATTAATTTCATGGACAAAGCTGGGAGTTTTTTTATGAACATAAAGCTCAGATATTGGAGAGATCACAAATATATTAGTAACAATAATAAATTTGAAAAAGGCTGAAAAAAATAAATTTGGTATTGGACACTTTACAAAAAATCAAAATCAAAATAAAAAATCAAAAGAAAATTCTATAGCACACACCTGTAAATTGTAAAACCCAGAAGAACTCTTCCAACTTCCAAACCCTTCACTCTCACAAACTAGAAGTTAGCTTAGAGTGGGTTGTGCTGCACCTGGTTTGATTTGTTTTGTTTTTTGGTTTTTTGGTTCTAAAGGGTTTGACCAAAAGATACAGCAAGTCTCTGAAGATCCTTTGTGTACATCTCTGAAGCTTGTAAAGCTTGCTGGTGCTGGTGCTGCGGGTTCTGGTGGTGCCAAGATGTTGCGCTCAAGCTGTTTGATAAAATGTGTGACTGAGATTCTGGTTTGATTTCTGAGTAAGTAGCAGGCTGAGAGGCTTGGTGGGTTCCCATCTGAAATGAGGTGTTGTGGAGATATTCAGACCATTTGATCTCTTGTGGGTCGTCGGATTTTACCGCTTCCGGCGGCCACCAAGAAAAGGCTGCAGAGCTGTCGAAGTAGCCGCCGCCGCTGCTGTTGCTGTTGTTGGCATTGGAGTCCCAGGTGGAGGAGTTATCGGATGGGAGGCTGATGGAAGGCTTCACACGTGTGGGAGGAGGAGGAGGGGCGGTGAATATAGGCGGAGCTTGATGACATGGACGGTTGCAGGAACTCTGGATTTTGATTGAGGAAGCTGAAAGTGGTGTTTTGATTTACTGCCTGCAGCCCCATATCTGACGACGAACCATAATTGTTTTGGTTATTGTGATGAGGAAAAGAAAAGTATCCCACAAAATCACAAGGCCCGCAACTACTGGGGGAGCCTTCATGTGTCAAACTTTTGCTGCTGCCGCCATTGCTGCTTATGAGTTTGGAGGTAGAAGAAACTTCAACCGGGTTGAACCGGTTTTCGGACGCTGAAGTAGGGTGCTTTGAACTCACTGCCTCAACGAGGCTCAGCTCATTGGATCCCACAGAGGCCTTCTCATTGCTTTTGTAAGTTGGGGAGAGGTTAATATTATTGTTGTTGTTAATTTCTTTGCCAATATTTTGATCAAGCGCTTCTGAGAGTGGTTTGTGAGTGTTGGGGTCAATGCCTCTTTGCCTCAGCTTCTTCTTAATGCAGGAATTCCATAGATTTTTAATCTCATTGTCTGTTCTTCCTGGTAACTGGGCTGCAATCTGAGACCATCTGAGATTGCAGCAGCAAAAAGATTTGATTTTTATAATTGCCCAGAAGATAAATAAGAAGAAAAATCTTAAATTTTAAGAAAAAGAAAAAAGAAAAACCCAAGTTATTAAAACTATAAAATATATATTACCTGTTGCCAAGAACTGCATGGAGTTCTATTATCAAATTCTCTTCTTGCTGTGAGAATGGCCCTCTCTTCAAATCAGGCCTCAGGTAATTTATCCACCTTAACCTGCAGCTCTTCCCACACCTCTGCAGACCTGCCAATATATCACACTATATGTCACCTGAAGAAAGACAACTCTTTCTGAACAGGACGATATTCTAAATTACTCTCTGGGACGGGCCATCACAACCGACACAACTTTAGTCCTGTGGTTTTTCCCCCCTTTGGAAAGTGATGAACAAATTGAATGGAGAATTAGAGTGTACCTGCTAGTTTAGGGACTGAGCTCCAGCAGCCATGGCCATGCTTGGTGATGTAATTGAGAAGCTTCTCATCCTCTTCAGGAGACCAGAGGCCTTTCCTTAGCTTCTGCTTGTAGCAACAAGAGTGCCTCCCCATGTGGAGTCCAACACTAGCTACACCTGCAATGCTGGCACAAAACTTTACAAAAAAGTGGCTGAGTTTTGATGTGAATTGTCAACAACAGCAAGAGAGGAAGCCTCTGATATGTATTCTTTCTAGGAAGTGAGAAAGTGGTGAATTTTGAGAGAGAGAGAGAGAGAGAGAGGGAGGGAGGGAGGGAGGGAGGGAGGGATAAGGGGGGTTAAGAAAATGAAATGGCAGCCTGGTAGGGAATCAAATTAATAGGAGAAGGCTCAAAGAGAAAAGTCACATTCTTGAGGGCGATTGGAGATTATAGTTTTGAATTAAATTTCATTTTCCTGAGGTAGGCTCCTCTACATTCCACTGCAGGGTCGAAGTCAGCTCTTGACCCCTTATACGGGGGTGGTGGTCCGACGCTATCCGACGGTCCATATGCATTTGGATGAACCCTAGTAGACGGATAAGATCATAGGAGGAGTACTACTAGCTCAGGGAGATGGAGCTCCAATTATTTGACTTTGATATGTCTCATCAATGTTGAGAGTTTATAAGTATTTGGCAGCACTACTTGTTGGGCATTTCTTATGAGACATATAACCAATTCTTGAAAATTCAATTTCAGAAGCGCATGTTATTTGTAAATTTGAGCGTAAATAAGTTGATTAAAGATGCATATATTTTTTTTGCATTCAAGTTTGAGTTACCCACCTAGATAAAATATCGTTTTCAATTAAAAGAGAAGCGCATGCTAATTAAGGATTAAGGTGATGTAGATGAATATCAATCCATAAACACATTTGTAAAAATGGAAAATGACAACTCCGTTGTTTGCTTTGAGTTTTAAGTAAGACCCTATCTTATCAAACTCTTATCCTAAGATTCTAAACACTAAAGCAGCCACGTGTATTGGAAAAGGGAAATTTTCTGATCAAAAGAAATCTCTAGGACTAGTAATGTTTGCTCATATATGATTCTGTAATAAATTGTTGATAAATGCGAACGAAGGTTGGTTCAGTTAGTAAGAACGTGCTTATAGTTAACTTTCAATCCAAGTTTGATCTCTTCTGCCAACAGGATGTGCAATTTATAAAATTTTTATGTAAATCTATATCGATGACAATTAGTAATTAAGTGTCATGTGTAAGTCTTTCCTTCTTCAGGTTGTGGGTATGTCTTGGTGCTGGTGATAAGAGTAGTCAATCTCCTCCTAAGTTATTTGTTACCAAAAAAAAAAAAACTGTTGATAAAATCTTTGCGCACTCATTATTTAGAATTATTCTTGTGTTTATAGTTTGACGTATTATGTATTTGAATTGTTAATGAAGTAAATTCTCAAAAAAAAAAAATGTATGACTTAAATTGAGCATTTGAAAAGAAAAAAAAAACGTTAGGAGAGCGAACTTCTTAATCGTTATTTATCAAAAAATATTGTCAATTAAATGTTTCCTAATTATGTAGATGATTAAATACTGAATACTCCATTGATACACTCCTTTATTGACCAACTTTTCTGTCAGATACTTCTGGTATTATGTTGACTTTCTTTCTTTTCTATTTGCGTTTTGGGTAATTTCCCCAAATCATGATTACTTTGAAAAGTTTCATAATTGATGCAAAAGAATGAAATATTCCCAAGATAGCTGAGAAATTTCAAAGAAAAATAACCCAAATTCTGCCAACTCCTCTGTCTGCCTCTTTGTTTCGAATATAAACGATATATTACATTAAATTTATCTAAATTACATGAAGAGAGATTTAAACTCAGATGCAGATGGTAGAGCACACTTTTCATGGCTAAGGGCTGCCTTAATTTTTTTTTCCCATTTCATTTTATCTTCTTGCTGTATGCAGCAAGTTGTATTACTGTGTGAAATGCTAATTAAAGGTATGACAAATGAAAGAAGTAATCACTAATTAAAGGCAAATTTCTTTAATATAAATTTGACAATAATGACAATTAGCATAGCTGTCCTTTTTTTAGTTGATTATGTATTTTGAAAGCTTAATGAGGACAAATGGAATGAATTATTAAAATTAATTGCAAGGTGAGTTCAATTAAGACGATGTGTTTTCACCATTCTGTATTAGTTTATCTATATGGAAAAAAACATAATTAAGAAAAAGGCCATAAACTTGTGTTGGCAGAAGCGTCTACTAATTGGGACAATATCGATATCATGATAAACTTACATTATTGAATTGAAGCAAAATTTATACAGTTGAGGCACTATGGCTGCCATGGCTAAGGGTTTTGAAGGGGTTACATCAGCTCTATAATGAAAGGTTTTGGAGGTTAGAGAAGGTATTGTTGTTGCGGTGAGAAAAGGGGTTTTCGAAAATTGTTTTTGAGAGCGATTCCCTCCGGATCCTTTCAGTTATTCTTCGTCCAAGTCTTGACACACCACTCCAATAGGGTAATTAGTGATTGAGGACGCAAAGGAATTGTTGAAAGAGATCACTGGTGGTTTTGATACCCATATTTGTTGTCAAGCTAACTGTGTTGATCATCGCTTTGCTCAATTTTTATTGGATATTGGTGTAGTGCATTACTTGCTTGAGGAATGATTGGATTTAATTTTTGATATTCTTGTTGTTATATGTAATATTCGGTGTTACTTTTTCAAATGTTTTCCTACCAGATTTTTTCCGAGCAAGGTTTTAACGAGGCCACTTACCCAAACTTCTCAAAATATACCGTGGCAAATGTTATAAGCAAAGACCTTAATATGGTATGAATAACTTAAATGTTCTTATCTATAAAGTACAATTGTAATTTGATAAGCTAAATAATGTAAAAATCAGAAAAGAAAAGAAAAAGCGAAATTAATGAATATAAGAATGAATATATCATCTTCTTTATAGTTCTGGATGACGGAATATTCTATTATTCTGTATTGCAGAGTATATGCAACGAACATCCAAAACTGGTAAATGTTTATAGTTTCCCAAATAAATAAAAAATCTCCTTAATCATATTTTATTATTAATAATAATTTTTTTGTCTGTGATAGCCTGTCAACTTGTTCTTGTATTATGAAGCTTCCCTTGACCTTAGCAATGTCTGAATTCAGAACATCCTGCTAGGAAATTGGATATTAAAACCCTACGAGAAGATGCTCGTAATCTCCATTCCTCATCATATGAACCATATGAGCTGTTTTTATGAAGTCAACTATTTTTGCATGTTTATTCTCTCTTGTTCTTTTTAGGTTGGTAAAATCATATATGTTTAATGATAATCTGTCGGCTTTGCTGTCATTTTTATATTTTCACTTTTGTTTAATCTATGTTTCTGCATATTGAAACTGGTTTTTTTAATTAGGTTTACTTCTTTGCTTATATAATATAATATTTTTGGTCGTTTTTTATCTTTTTGACCCTCCATTATAGGGAATGAATCTCTGTCTTCTGCCATCAAATGATTGGGAAGGTTTAAAAAATTTCACAGTCCAACACATGTAACTTCAGTTTTTTTGGGAGGAATACTAGTTATCCTCTCTTTTATCTTCTCTCTTATATTATTGTCTAATGTTTCATGAACATCAAAATTGTTTTTTATATAATAATTCTGCAAAAAATCAACTAAATTAATTAAATGAAAATTTATTAGTTGTCTGATTATATTCATTCCTTAATTAATCAAGTTGAATTAATACTAGTGTGATATTCGGTCAAAGAGTTATTCTCTGTATTTCACAACAGTTAGATGATTAAACATTTTACATGGTGGTTGGATTTTTGCATGGAACATCTTTGAAGGATGACCTCGAAGGTAGATAGTTTTGATCATTAAATCATTTTGCCAAATGAGAAACCTTAGGCATGGTAAATTGGTAACTGCAATATTACCTGCAGTTTCTTGGTGCATGCATTTAGTTTAAAGCCTCAAGAAAAACAGGCTAATCTTATTAATGTTGATATCATCAGTGAAGATAATGTTTTCATTACTGTACAATCGTCACAAGGACAAGAGGAACATAAGGTTGTGGCTCTTAAACACTTAAGTAATCATGGCCAGACAAAGCTTGGGACAGATCTAATCCAAAATCACTTCTTGAAATTAATGTGTATTTGTATATTACGAATTGCTGAGCTGGACTTTGGCTACAGAAAAAAGGTTCAACTGAGTGAATGAATATATACTCGAGACCTTACAATATGAAGGAAGAAATATTGGTCCACCAAGTTTATCAGCTTCAAGGAAGAACACATCGAACTGAAATTGCATAAAAAAAAGGTTTGTGGGGCTTTCTTAATCACCAATTAGCAAAATATTTAGGCCCATATATTGCCTTTATTATTAACTTAATGGTCCACGATGTACGTTGCCATAATGGAGAGATTATAACCGTTTGAAGGGGAGGAGGATAACATTTGCTCCAGTATCAGTTGTATACAATCATATTTATGATCACATAATTAATTTTGAAATAAAAAATATCGACACGTATATATAAATGTATCTAATTGGTAACATCTCTCTCTTGAAGACCTAATATGGGAGAGAAACTTGTATTGGAAGAATTTACTTGATCATAGTGACCTTGATCACTTATACAAGGTCATGTAAAAAAGTCTTATACATAACCTTATATTAGTAGTATGAAATGTTACGATGATATGAACCCCGTATCAGATAAGTCTTTCTACTAATTTGAATGACTTGTGTCTTTTGTAGTATAGTTTTATTTATATAAAATTGTGTAAATATTTATTTATAGGGGAGACAGTGAATTTTTTTATTCAAACAGTCATCACAACACCATCATTGTGCTGGGGGCTTTCCCTTAAAATCAAGGCCGTGCATTTTTCTTTTTCCTTTTTCTTCTTTTTGAATTTTTCTACTTCTATATAATTAAACTACCTCTTTAACTGTGTCATGGTTTCTCTGTTGATTTGAAGTCATTAGCATTCCAGTCAAAAATGTCGACCAAATAAAAATAATCAATTAACAGTTTATTATACATCAACATAGTGTCACACGGTATGTCTTGCATCAGATAAGAATTAATGGGTTTGATCTTAGGGTTACAACCACGTTGGAGATAAGCATGGGCAAGCGCAAGCGTCCAGCTTGTGACAGACGGTGTAAGAGGAGGCCTAAACCCTAATCCGGTGTCACTCCGATGGATCAAGTCTTGTAATCTAGCTAAACTACTCACGATCAATCACATGACAAATCATACATGTACTGCAGAACTTGGTTATCTTCTTCCATT